AGGGCAGGAGTGCAATAGGGATGTATTGGCATTTTCAAATTCCTTGTTATCTTTAATGGTAACATCGAAATGGAGTGAGCATTTAAAAGAACGGAAGGGTTTTCTCAGAACCCTCACTCACCAGCCACAAGTCAATTCATAATGACCCTAAAGCATCCCATACTCTTAAATCTTAATTAGCACAATGACAGGACCTTTGATTATGACTGGCTGAAGGATCACCTTGCTAATGACAGTGATAATGTTTATGGCAAGATACAGATAATTGATGGAGGATATCAACTAGATTGTGTGATGGTTCTACCTCCTGTTGATCACCTTGACAGATCAGCTGGTGCTGGAGAAGAAAAGCCTCTGCAATAAAGGCATTACTCTGAAAGTTTCAGCTACACTACACTAAGTTGCAATAGCAGAGGAAATCAGTAGCTCCTCGAAGTATGTTTCTTACGAGATGCATCAGTGATTAATGTGGTATGGGGAGATTTTACCGGCACCCAAGTGCAAAAGACAGGACTTGATATGAGGTCTTCCCAGGTCTTTCAATTGCGTGCAATTCTGCAACTTAAATTTGGATACTTTTCTTTATCAGAAAAATAGATCAAGCGTTTAGGGGCAGGTACCTCTACAAGGCAGGAAGAATCCACCACACCTGAGATGGAGAGTGGAACCCTGTGTCCCTCAGCACACGCAATCGCAGGAGCTGTCAGGGTGTTGTACTCGCATCCTGAACGGCAATTCCAAAGACAACGTGCTGTGGAGCTGATGAAACACAGCAGCGGGTGCCTCAGCTGAACAGGGCAATTTAAAGGAGCTGAAATGGCACTCAGTGTGCTCCAGCCCCGTATTCCATGTACCTCTAAGCCAAAAGGAAAAAATATTCTTGGTCCTAACACTGTATATGCATGCTTGCACTGCTACTGGAAGATGAACACCGAGGGGCCGTGAAATGGGACAGGAACATGGACTGGTTAGCAATATGTTTTGGCATCCATGAAGGTAAATCTGCTGTGTGACTAATGGCCTGCTGAATCAAATTGAAATGACATCAATAGACTGAGAAAAGTAAGTAAAAAAGATGGCAGGGTGATATCTGCCAGTGGTAATGAAGGCACTCCATCACCATTTGATAAGAGATTTAAAAATGGGCAGATGTATATGCAAACATACCTAACCAAGAAACTACTATAATTTTTTTCTTTTGTTTATGAACCTGGTAACAATTGTCTATGCTTTATGGACTCTAATTTCATTTCCTGACTCAGAAAAAAAATGCCTGTCAGTTAGGCTAGGGATTTTTTGTTATTGTTGTCACTGTCTTGATTTATTGAAATGCATATATTGCTAAAGAAACTCTGTACTTAGCCCTGCGTAGTAGTCACAATGGAGAGCACTCAGGGACATCAGAGTCATGTATTTTCTGCCATCACATTACAGGGTTAATTGTTCAGATCAAAGCTTTCCTCTGGTTGTTCTGATCACCTGAATGATCCCCAGCAGCTGTGTGCCTCATTTAGCTGGCAGGTTAAACTGACCTTAAGGGTAATGGAGCAGGACAGCTGAAAGGTTCTTGTTTATCTGACCCAATACATATTGTTTCAAGGATTGTGTAAACAACTGAGATGCATTAGCTATTCTAGACAGATTTATACACAAACTGCCTGCTTGCTGAAGCACTAAAAGATTTGTAGCTACAAGTGATTAAAAAAAATTATCCCTTTGCCAGGCCAATTAGAAAGGAAAATAAGACTTAGAAGACCATGTTAGGCTTTTTTAAAAGTTCAGTTAAAGAATTAACATATGGATCTTAATGTTGATTACAGGTCACCCACAACCCCCACTTTTCCAGTCAGTAAATGAGTTTGTACTGAACTTCAGATTTACTTACATGAAAACAGACTGTAAGGAAGACGGTACACACGATATAACAGTGTATCGCAAAATAGAAAAGAAAATGGTACAAAGTGCCAGGAAACCACTTAGAAAGATAACCTCCATCAAGGAGGTACTCGGGCATGTAACAAAGGCAAGGAATCTGGCCAGCCTTTCTCCTGCACTGGCTCTTTTCAGTCTGTTTTCTGAAAAAGTCTCTCAGAGCTCTTCCTTGCCATACATCCCTAAAAGTACAGATTCAAATTATCCAACGTAGGAAAGCCCTTGTATTTTGGCAGATGAATGCGTTTAAAGTATGAACAAAACACTTTTCAATGCACACTGTTAACAGTTTAGTTATTGTACAATACATCCGCGTGTAACGAGCATCACTTAGTATCTCTGTAGGACACCTGCACTCTTGAGATAACGAGTATCCTGAGATACTCATTGACAATTTCCACATATTCTGCTTTGACAAGACAGGGCCAAGTACCTCAATAGGATCAGTTAACTTTTTTATCACTTCCTAGAACTCAAACTATGCTTTTTCAAATAATATTGTTTTAAAAATGTAGAAGTTTAAAAAAATAAATATCTAAGAACATACAAAGAAAAGTGCTCCTGCCCTGAAGAGCATCCAACATCACACACACAACTGATGTCAACCGATACAAACCAAAATGAAAACAAACCTGCGTTTCACAATTTCACCAATTGTCAAATTAAAACATTCTTTCCAGAATCAAAGCACATGAAGACTCAAGAAAATATGCAAAGAATAAAAAAAAATAAAAACCAATCTCAACAAAAAACCTATTTTTTCTAGAGGTAGTCAGTTATCAAGTTGAAACATCTTCCAGCATTCGTGAGGTGTCTTTACTCCTTTTCATTTCTTTTAAATATAAACATGATTAATTTTTATTGCAAACATAAATTAACTTTTACTATCACTACGTCATCACTAAGACTCACCTTTTTAGTGCAGAGTTGCTCCTATATATAGCAGATGTGCCTAAGGCTAGCCAAGTGATTTTTCCAACACTGCTCAACTGGTAGATGTTGATTGTGTAAACATAGAAGTAACTGATATACTTTAATATTAAGAAAGAAGAAGGAAGTGTAAAATCTCACTTGCAGCATTTCAACAATAAATTAACAAAATCTGAATTCCCCATCAGATGCAACATGAAGTGCCCTTGGTAAAGTTACAAAATAATGATGCATACTAGAAAAGAGTATGGATGCAAGATGCAAGTAATTAGGTAGGGAGAAATTAACCTTCCCATTCTATACTTCATCTGAGCATCAAATCCACTATTTTCTTACCGACAAAAAATTATCACCTTTATCAAGTTCCTGCAAGTACGCTGCATTACAGTAAGAGCAAAGCAGAATGGCAGACACTGAACGATGCCACGTTCCAGTGGCATAGAAACTAGTCTCTAAAACTCTTGGCCTTGAGGACCGTGAGATTTGCCTATTCAAACCCAGCACCAAGGCCAAATGTCCAATTATTTTCTTCCCAAACCAGCATTATATATAATGGGATTATTCTGTACTGATTTCTTGGAATTTAGGCTGCTATATATTAAAGACACAAAGTATATTAAAGATAATACTTTCTTTAAAGTATTATCAATGCATGAGCAAACAATTGATGCTATTTCTATATCACTGACTGACATATGAATTTAAAAAAACGTAATATGTACAATTTCCACCTGTGTGTGTGAGAGTGCATTTATTACTCTGGCCACAAACATCTCAGTTATACGGATCATTAATCATAACACTGAAATGGTAGTTTCCCTTACAAATGTTATTAAAAAACTAAATTATTTATTGCGTCAACTACAATCAAAACTTATTGTTACATGCATCTATTACAACTTCCAAGCTTCTCCCCTAAATTATGAGTCTTCTTCGTATTATCTGTGTATTCACAATAAAATTGCCATCTCCTATGCGGGTGGCAATGACTGACTGATGTAAAAGGACTGATTTCAGTCTACAATGAATAATCAGCTAAGTCCTTAAACAGATACAAAAGTTAAAAGATTAGTCTGCCGCTAATATTTTCACCAAGCTATTTCTTAATACTAACAAAGGGATTTACTGGGTCACTTACTCTTTTGTGGCCACTACTAGTACTGCATCTTAAATATAACATACCACATGAAGACTATTACACGTAAACACATTTGGAAAGTTGTGCCTGCATTGCACACCAGAGCAAAGAGGATTCGGACCCTCACATCCAAACTGCAGCTCAGACTGTGCAGCAGCATTTCGTAGACAAATGAGTTATAAGAACGTTCATATCACATGCTACAAACATAATTTCTAGGTATGACCTAAACCAGATAGTTGTAAGGATCACATTGTGTTTGGGACGTGATGAGGAAGCTCCTACTCCTTGACCCACAGTCTTAAGAAAACTTATAGCCATTAACTCCAGTGGGGAGATCTATATGCAACAGAGTTGAAGGAGGCAAACCCCTGCTTTTTAAGACGTGCAGTTCACTATTAAAACAGTATAACCACCTATAACAAATATCATAAACTACAAGTATAAACCATAAATTCATTCTTCCTATATAGCTTTGCTAACTTAAAACCCGATTCTCATCTTTACACAAAACTGTTGCCTACTACAGAGATACCCTCCCCTACGTGAAGAACAGAAACTATTGGAATAACGTGTCCCACACACAATGTTCCTCTATTCCAGATAAAAGGAAGCTTATTTTCTTTGTAGAAGAACGCTCACCAATACAATACTGCAGTTAGCTGCACTACGCTTATCTAAGGAAAATAAACAAACATACCTAACACACATTCCCTACAGTACCTGCTTGAAATACCTTAACTCCGGACACTAACTACAAACAGCTACGTAATCAATTAGCAAATAGGTGGGGACCTCTAGGTGATTTCAAATTTCTACAAGGACAAATAGTTTTACGTAGTTTGCTAAGTCATTATGATCAAGTCACAAACTGAACACCACAGACAGTCTATTTTATCATCATTGTTCAATTTAAAGTCATCATGTTTATCTAAACATAAAATTTATATTATTTTGAGGAACAAGAAGAATTCTTTAGAGACACTCCTTTAGTACTTACGGGTAAAATGATTAGAAGTGGATGGATTGACACTATCCCCACTGTCAGCACTTTCACTGCTAGAAATGTCATCATCCGATTCCCGAACAGAGGAACAAGGTGAGGAGCCATCAACTTCTTCAAACTTCCTCTTTAAAATCCCGCTCATCACTGCAATGCTGTCACATGCACCTGTAACGGGGATAGAGGCAATGAGGCACCGAAACACCAACGTGCAGAATACGCAGTCATAGTCTCCAAAGTAATCTTTACTTAGAAGTACCACATCCACGTCCAGTCTTGAATAACCATTTAGTACAAAACTAGATATAATTAATAAGGAGACAATGAAGCCATAGGAAAGAAAAAAAAAACATAAAAAGTCATACATGTATGGAGATGATTATTTTGCTATAATAATGTGCAACAGATTGCTTTCAGGGAGTATTTTTCCCATTTTGATGTCAATAGAATCCCTGATTTCTAAGTTATGTTGTGAAGTTTCAAACAAGGGAAAAAATGGGAGTTTCTTTTCAAACACCCTCACTTGGTCCCTCGCTTGGCTGCCATGGGACAAAGAAATGTTCACAATCAGAGATGAAATTCAATAAGAAGAAATAATTCTGAACACTGCAGTTGCCATTGCCAAACCTATGTGATCTAATCAGTGTCAACATTGCCCCTGTAAGAAATCCATCTGATAATTCCAATATTATGGACAGATAAAATACAATGAAGTCACAACAACTACATAAAAATCTAGTGCTAAATAAATGCCTGGAATTCAGAAATTCCCCAGTCAGAGACACAAACTGTCTCCAAAACTCTCTCATTCCTTCATTAAGAAATTAGATGCCTAATATACTCCTGAGGTTGAGTAGAAGATTATAAAGCGAAGTATTCAAGCAGAAATTTAGCAGCCGAGGTAGAAATATAACACAAATTGCACATAATTAAGGAGAAAGTGTACCCTTAACTAACTGAGGAGAGATCAAGGACAGCTGGAGCTTGCTCAGAGGACATGCAGCTGCCACCATGCTGCCTGCAGCACTGCAGAGGCAAGCAGTGCTGATACTTACCCAGGCAAAAAGTTTGTCTAGGATTGATGACACTCAACTCACCGAGTAGGACACACAACCTAGTGCTACAGACTTACCACAGGGTTCTTCCAAATCCCACTGAACACAAGAAAAAAAAAAAATAAATTGCATTCCTCACTGAAACAGAACTTTTTACATCCCTGCAGCTACCTTTAGGACTTAATAATTTCAAGCCATCTGTGTTCCACTCCATCCAGGAAGTTGGACTAGATAACCCTCAGAGCCCTCTTCCAACAAACATTTCTATGGTTATATGTTTAAAAAAAATGAATCTGTCAGGAAGCTAACATATGCTGAGCTAAATGACTACTAGTAAGCGAGACAAGGTTAAAGCAGAGACTCCAGTACTGACCATACTGTTTAGCAATTAGCACATTTCAGAGTTTTGGCCCAGGCCACCTCACACTCTCCTGGATAACACAGGATGAAGCAGGTGCCAGAACCATTCCCAGCAGGCAGGCTGGATGAGGGCAGCTGGGTTTTAGCAGAGGACTGGCAGTTAGTGACTGCGGACGAGTACTGCCACTTGGCAGCAGAATCCAGAGAATACTGTCCTTAGCCTGCACCCTTTTTATCTTTTTAATTAACATAGAGGTAGTCTCAGTGATGTAGCTGCTATGTTCTGACTCTGTAAGAACAGCACTTGAGTAGATCCTCTGGTATCTTTACTCACACTTGGTTTAGTACCAAGTAGCTTCAATGTTTCCTATGTATCTTATAGCTCTCTTCAAGCCCCAACACCAGTTTCCTTCCTGGAAAAAACAAAGTGACAGTGTGAAGAGGTTTGCAACCAACTTTTGGCCTGATACGAAGCTAGAACAGAATCAGGGTAGGTATCTAAAGCTGAGAGCTAAAAAAAAAAAAAAAAATTACAAAATTTATGGGCTCACCAGGTTACAGGGTCTCAAGGACTAATTCAAAATCACAATTCAGCAAACATTGAAGTCTGTCTATAAGAAATCCTGGGACTGATGGTGGCAAGAATGTCATGGTTTCATCCCAGTGTAACAAAAAGTTAGTTCTAATTACTTGTTTTGCTTTGCTGACAAAGCATTTTAGATTTGCCTGCCAGCTCCTAAGCACAGCAGGAGGGAGTTATGGGCAGGTTTAAACTTGCCTTTGTAAGTCAAAACTAGAAATTAGAGATATACAACATTTTTATCATATTATTTAATTACAAGAACTAGAACAGAAGTTTTATAGCAAGGGAGTTCATTCACCTCTCAGGAAGCAAAAGCTCTGAGAAGCACATACATGACTGCACCAGGTTTAATATCCTGTCTCCAGCAGCAGTCAGTATTTAACGCTTCAGTGGAAAGCAATGGGATGAGAAATCCAGCCACGGCCACTGCAGATACATGGCTCTGCTTCCTCATCCTTGCAGTCAATTTCCCCTAAGCATAAGGCTGAAATGTTGCTAGACGACAGCGCACAGCCTCCTATAAATTCATTTGACTCGCTCTCCTGAGGCAACAAGTTTCATATTAGTTTATTGGGGGAAAAAACCCACACCGAAACACACCTCCTGAAACTACAGCCTTCACAATCATAGCAGTTTCAGTCTTTACGATATTTTGGACAGTAACAGCAGCAGAAGCAGGCCAGTGTCCAGCAGCACGCTGTACTAGATAGAACTCCACACAGGCAGGTACTCCCCGCGAAGTGGAAATAGCTGAAGAGAAGTCACTGAGTTCTTCTTGCTGTTTTATAGTGATATTTCCGTTTCAATCCCCAACAGCGGTTCTATTACAGGGGAGGTGCAGTGCATCTGCTGATCCCGTACAGAATCAGGAAATGCCTGTGTACTCGGGAGGGTGTGCAGGGAGGGAACGGCGATGGAGATGGAAATGGAACTGCAGCATGGAGTTACTCCTCCCAACGCTGGGGAGAGCCCGTCCGGCTGCTGCAGTTACCGCCTGCGCGCTCTGCCTCACAGCTCTGCAGCCCTCAGCAGCTGCCTCTGGGGAAGCCCCCAAAGCAGCATAGCCTCTTGCTGACACTACTCCGCTTTTGATATGGCAACTCAAGTGTTCATCTGACAGAACAAGGAAGAGAAAGTGGGCAAAAAACCGTGCAGGTCTGAAAACACTAGTGCACTCAGTTACTGTTCAAGCAGATTCTTCCCCAATTAATGATTCCCTGAACAAGACATAGATTCCCATCAGAAGGTATCCAACTCTTGACAGCGACATACCAGGAGCACTGGTCCTTAATACAGTCATCTCGAGTCTGCTTTAGGAACTGGTGCCAGATTCCCCAGGGCCAGGAAACAAAAGCAGGGGGGTGATGTGCGGTCTTGACAGGTACACATTGCCACGCAACACAGCACGGCCACCACCAGCCGCAGTTACACCTGCTCAATCTACCCCCTGCAAGGGCACAGGGGCATACAAATGGTTGATTACTGCCTGTTGACTGAGAAACAGCTGCTTCCAATTGAGAAACCAGTAACTTTTAAATGACTCCAATGACCTTGTATTCGACCAGTCCTCAGATCAAAACCCCTTTCCTAGATGGCTCTGCCTATCTGTCACCAAACTGTCTTCTTCAAAGGCATGTGAGCTTTTTCAGGGTCTCACTTTGAAGTTCCCCAGGCATAAAGGCCGTTTCTGCACATTCCCAGAAGTTAAAGAGATTTGAGATGCCTGAATAACTTCATGTCCAGGTTTCCCTGGGAGCCTGAAACTTGGTGTTCTTCCAAGGAAGGTGTCTAAGAACAAAAGGAAAACGGAGTAAGAGTGCAGGGCATGTTGAGAAGGAAAAGGGACCAAAAGGTTGAGCCAGGAGTGATTATGTACCCAAAGGCTGGTAAATACAGTACAGCATTTGGCCCGCTACCTGTGCACACTCTTTTTGGACTATCAATCTTGCCATTATTTTCTATACAGTGAAATGGCCTCCACCTAAGCAGAGGACTAGGGTGCGCTCCACTAAGCTATAGCTCAGAGGCAGCAATTACTGAACAACATATTCAGCATCCTGGTGAGGTCCTTAGCTGCTAAAGTACTGTGTAAATTACAGCAGACCCATTCAGCAGCAGATCTTTACAAGAAAGATCTTTTAAGAGGAAGAGTGACCTATGCTCTGTTCTTGAAAGGGAAGGTTTATGCCCCTGCCTTCAGGAGAGGGCACTGGGCTGTGACGGAGGAGCACAGGGAGCTTCGATAGCAAACAGCTGAGCTGTGGTTCCACACTGAAGGGTAACCACACAGACACTGGGGATAAAACTTTTAACTCTCAAATACCTAACCTCTAATTGCCTTGCTGCTTATTTCACTAAGGGGACATGACTTTGGAATTAATCCGGAAACCTTTACTCAGATGTAAAATACCTGCAGTCCTCAATAACCACAGCCTATCCTTACTAGATAAAAAAACCAACAAAAAAAGTTGTTCAGCTCAAAGAGAGTCGTTGGAAGGACAGGGTATTTTACAGCCATCTCGATGCTGCCAGGGAACACATGCTCCTCCCCACAGTATGTTACTGGACCTCTGCATCAGTGAACGAGCTCTGCTGGCACCGTGATTTTGCCTTGTCTTCAAACATAGTGGGATTCTGATCAATTTTAAAACACTTTAAAAGGAAATGTTTGAAAAACAAAGCAGATGTATTAAATAATAGGATCTCTGGGGGAGTGATAGCTTGGCCTGTTCATTTTCAAAATCCTTTTTCTGAACACTGATCTCTCTCCCCTTCAATAAAAGGCAACTGGATTCCTTCAACTTTTCTTCTGGCCACCCTAAAATCAAGCCGACTCACTTAACACCCTTAATTACATCTTTAAAACATTATGTTTGCATTTCACAGTTAAAATAACGTCAAGATTACAATTTAAATATTTAGACAGAACTTCCCTATGAGGAAATACACCTTATACTACACAATGCTTGCTTTAACTGAGAAAGCATTAACACTTGGAATTACAGTGACACAGTATTTAGTTGTAGCCTACATGCTTTCTTTCAAAAATATTTCCAGTCATTATGACTTCAAACACGGAGGAAGTGAAGTGTAAGTATCAACAATGAGACTGCCAAGGGGATGGTCAAAAGAAATGGCTACAACAATCTAAATGGCTAAATAAATATAGG